CCTGAGGGCTGTGCATCCACAGGGCCACCTGAGCCTGGGCCGGAGCGGAGCATTGAGTCTTCCTGGGCTTGAACTCAGCTGCCCTGCAGAGCAGCAGCATCACAAGGTGGTGGCTGGCTCTCTGTATAACAAAAGAGGTTCCAGGATGTCTGAACTGCTAAGAGACTTTCTCAAGGTCACACGGGTAGAAAGGTTCAGAGTCGGCAGGCTTACTGTCTTTGGGTTCAGTCCCACCTTTGTATCAAGAATGTTCTGTCCACAGAGGGCACTTGAAAGTACAGTCAAGGGAGATGGTGTGGTAGCAAGCAGCTGACCAGGTTATACTTGCTACACAGTGATGTTCAGGGGAGCACAGGTTGGGAGACAGGCAAGGAAGGACTCTAGCCAGCATCAGCACAGAACAGAGGTCCAGGCCTCAGCTGCAAAGGCTCAAGCTGCCAGTCACCTCTTACACATGTATCCACTGGGCCCTGACATCCAGGAATGGCAGGGAACACCCCGCTGCCAGAGTCTGAGAAAGAGGATCTGAAGCCAGGAAGTCAATAGGGGGAGTCTGAAACCTGCCTCAGGGACTGAATGGGCTTTCTCTCACAGCATGGCGGGAGTGGTATCATGAGACATGTGATCAAAGCCCTCTCCAAAGGAGCCCAAGTAACCTCCATCAAGTGCCTGCGCCTCTCCAAGCCTCAGTTTCTCCAGGCCATCTCCTGTCTCTCTATCCCTTGTTTGGTTGGAAGTGTAGAGGAAATGAACTCTGGGTTCTTAGTTCATGGCACAGTGCTGGATTCTAGCAGAGCACGACTCCACCTCTGCCCCTTTGAGTGGCCAGAATTATGGCTGCAGTCCCTGGGGCAATTGTGTTACTAAGATTGTGTCTGTGTCCTGCCCTATGTTGGCAAAACATTCCCAGCCTCTGATTTAGTAACTTGGACAGACCTTGTTTTCTGGGGAAGAAAGGGTTTTTTTGTTTGTTTGTTTGTTTGTTTTTTGATGGGCTAACCATCATTTTATTTTAACATTTTAAGTTATTTTGAAATTTTCTACAATAAATAAGCACTTGTTTTGTAACAGAAAAATAAACTATTTAACCAAAAGAGAAACATTTAAGTTGTCCTAGAGTCAATATCATAGTCCTGGCCATAGTCATAGTACTGCTTTTTTTTTTTTCCAACATTTTTTATTTGAATTAGGAACAGGATTGTTCTACGTGACAATCCCATTTCCCTTCTCCCACACGTCCTCCCCTACCCACCCCCACCCTGTTTTTTTTTGTTGTTGTTGTTGTTTTTTCTTCTTCTGTGGATCACCAGGGGATGGTTTATAGGGTTCTGGGAAAAAAAAGAGGTCTGGCCCTTAAGTGTGTGCAGGAGAGTGGCAAGGCTGAGGCCAAGTGCCTGGTCCAAAGGTCAACCTGTATCAGGTACCTCAGCTTCTCCAAAGCTGCTTGGCAGGGTGGGGTGGGGTCTTCAGCCTTTGCTGCCCCACCTCTTGATGGACATCGATGGTACAGCCCTCCAGGGGTCCCCTGCACCTGCCTTCTCACTGAGCCCTTCACTATGAATTGATAAACTGTGTTAGTGTGTGCCCCTCGGCTATTGATGCAGATTGCCTAGGGCTTCAAGGATGAAACCTGTGTATACACAGTAGCTGTCCTGTTAGGAACCACTGCTGGAGCAAACCCATACATATCAAAGATGTGGTGCTGGCTGGGCATGGTGGCCCCGCACTCAGGAGACTGAGGCTGGAGTTTGTAAATTCAAAGCAAATCTGGACTAGACTACATAGGGACACCCTTCCTCCCCCCCCCCCCCCCCGGCCCATCTCAAAAAAACTCTTGAAAACTACTATGCTTTCAGTAGTTTTATACATTTTGATTTTTAGTAGCTTTTTTGAAGTACAGATTCAATTATTTTGTATTCATTTAAAATATTTGGGCTAGGTGGTGGTGGCGGCACATGCCTTTAATCCCAGTACTTGGCAGGTAGATCTCTGTGAGTTTGAGGCCAGCCAGATCTACAGAGCTGGTTCCAGGACAGCCAATGCTACACCAGAAAACCTTGTCTTGAAAATCAACAACAACAACAAAATGTTTGGGACCAGAAGTGTTTTAGATTTGAGAGTATTTCCACTTGCACAATAAGATATTTTAGTCATGAAGCCTATGTCTGAATTCATTGATGGTTCATATACTCCTTGTACACTTTGCCTGCCTTAAAATTGTGTATTTTGAGAATACTTGTACTTTTGTTTGTCTCATTTTTTGGTTTTAGTTTTGTAACAGGGCCTTATTTTGTAGCCTGGGGTGGCCTAGAACTCACTCTGTAGACCATGCTGGCCTTGAATTCACACAGATCTGCCTGCCTCTTCTACATCTGGGGTACTTCACCTGAAGGTGTGTGCTGGGATTGAAGGTCGGTGCCACCCTGCCTGGCTAGTATACTAATTTTGACTGTGACCTGCCACGTGGTCAGGTGGGAATTTCCACTTGTGGCATCACATTGGTACTCAGGAAGTTGTAGGTTTCAGATTTGGGGTTTTGGATTAGAGATGCTCAATCAGTATACTTTCTGTGACATAAAATCCACCCCTTGTGAGTGTGCTTCATGCTGCTTTCCTGTCTGCTTGTGCTTCACACACACATCTCTAGAAGGTGTGTTATGCTCTCAGCCCATCATATGTCTGGATTCACGGACTCCTCACTGTCTGTGGCTGTGGTCTTGTTTAGTGTTATCAGGGTCAAGGTGATGTGAGATTCCCCTTCCCTGGATCTCTCTGCCCTTTGTCTTAGAATCCATTCCTACTATTTCTTAGCTTTTTCTGCTGCCCTGTAGCATAAGCAGAAAGTTGTTTGTTAGGTGGATGGCAGGTGAAGAAACCTGCTGAGAGCCAGGAGCCTGTGAGGCACCCTGCCTGTGTGTTCAAGTCTCCTGGAGAAAGGCTGGGTAAATGGGGCAGGCTCACTGACAATGGCTCCTTGGTCACTGGATTTTGGAGTGCAGAATAGGGTCAGGAAAGGTCTGAGCCCTGGGCTTTATCTGCACTTAAATGGCCTCTTCCCTGCTTTCTGCACTGTGCTGACACTGGAGGGCCAAAGGTCCGGTCTCAGTGTGACCCTATTAACTAGATCTGGTTGTATTGTCCCCTTGTGCCTCTGCTCAGAACTGGTGAATCAAATACCCACTCAAGCAAGATCTGCCGGAGCAATGGTTGGCCCCGAAAGAGTTGCCCCCAGTATCAGCTGAGGTGACTCTCAGACACCCAGGCCTGCCTTTAGGAAGAATCCCATGCATGGGCTTAGAGTGTATCTACTGTGACCCCTCCCACAAAGTGTCCCAGCCCACTAGTGAGAGGTCCTTTCCTTCCAGCTCTCTAACCTCCCTCCCAGCCTGGTCACACAGATTAGGGCTATTAAGATACATTTGGTTGACTGGGCAGTGGTGGTACTTGCCTTTAGTCCCAGCATTTGGGAGACAGAGGCAGGCGGATCTCTGTGAATTCAAAGCTAGCCTGGTCTACAGAGTGAGTTCCAGAACAGGCTCTGAAGCTACACAGAGAAACCCTGTCTCAAAACAAAACAAAACGCACACACACAAAAAAACCAAAACAAAACATTTGGTTGCACCCAGGACCTGGCTTCATGCTTGGGTAGCCAGACGAGTCATCTGCATAAACAGGAGGAGGTGTCTGATGGAATAAGGCCTCATTTGGCTGTTTCTTCCCTTTTCTTTCTTTCTTTCTTTCTTTCTTTCTTTCTTTCTTTCTTTCTTTCTTTCCATCTGTCTGTCTGTCTGTCTGTCTGTCTTTCTTCCTCCCTCCCTCCCTCCCTCACCCCCCCTCTCTCTTTCTTTTTTCTCTTGGTTTTTTGAGACATGGTTTCTCTGTGTAACAGTCCTGGCTGTCCTGGAACTTGGTTTGTAGACCAGGCTGGCCTCGAACTCACAGAGATCCACCTACCTCTGCTTCCCTAGTGCTGGGATTAAATGCATGCTCCACCACTGCCCAGCTGTGGCTGTTTCTTTTAACTATGCTTTGTGGGCAGCTGCTATGCACCTTGGGTTTTTGGTTTGTTGTTCACCTGTCAGGTGGACAGTGAGCTGGCTGAGCTAATCATATCCCAACCTGCATCCCAGCCCCGAGGCCAAGCCATGCATCTTCCTTCTCCCCCAGCTTATTCACCCCTCCCCCTCCCCAGGGAGACCCACTCACCCTTTGGAGTTCATTATAAGTGCTCCCTTCCAATCACCTTTCTTGGCATTGTCTCCCCTGAACTTCCAGATTTTCTATCTATTTTCTATGTATATTTTGGCACCAAGGCAGGTTCTAAGGTCCCTTGTGGTTATTCAGCCGTTTAGTGTATGGACAACTTGCTTCTAGCCAGACACAGGGCTCCTGAGAGGTGTGTTTTACAGCTCTTCCAATGCCTGGTACATTGCTAGGCATATAGCAGGCGCTTCGCTCATACTGGAGGGAACAAGTGGAGGAGATGGCTTTTGTCGTCTGTTCTTCTGATGGCCTTTAGGATGCATCCCTGGTCCCATCCCAGACCTTGGGTAGGGGCATAAAAGGAATTACTTCTGGTGTTTTATAGTTGGCCAGAGCGGTTGGGAATCTTGCCAAAGGTCACAGAGTGAGTGGCCGGGTAGGGTGAGGGTTATTCCAGATAGCATCAGGCACAAGTCCTCATTTTGGGGATTTCCCTCCTGCTTGTTAACACACATGTGACCCAGGCCTCCGGATAGGAACTGAAAAGTCTGAGACCGCTTAGGAGAAAATGCTGTTGCTCCTAAACTCACACAGTAACCCCTAAAAAAATCTTTAATCTCAGGACCTGAGATCCAGTCCTGGGAATGATCCCAGGGTGGCTGCTCTTGAATGCCTTTCTGCTTAGATGCTTCCTAAGGTTGCCATTCCTGCTCCTCCTCTAGCTGGGGCCCCATGTTCAAGAGGACTGGGATGTGGGGCTTGGGGATGAGTCTGTCACATACACCACTGCCCTCTAGCCCGAGGAGCTCACCAACGCCCTGGAAATCAGCAACATCGTCTTCACCAGCCTCTTCGCCTTGGAGATGCTGCTGAAGCTGCTCGTGTATGGTCCCTTTGGCTACATTAAGAATCCCTACAACATCTTCGATGGTGTCATTGTTGTCATCAGGTATGACTGTCCCCTCCTGCTTTTGTCTGAAAGAGCGACAGCAGGGATGACTTAGAGTGAGAGGCGTGGCCTCAGCCCTCCATCTCTTTACCTTCCTCTGGGTCTCACCTTGCTTTCCTAGAGCCTGGGCCCCTTTTCCATCTGCTCTCCTTGCATCTACCTCTTGTCCTCAACCCTACCCAGGCCCGGGGTGGGTGAGGATCAGAGAGTTGGCTCTCAAGTGGAGTTGGAGGAAGAGTGAGATGCAGTCAGCTTTCCTGCTTGCAAAGTGCTTGGAAACCAACTCAGACGCCCAGCAACTTAACTTTAGGGTTTCCAAGACCTGGGAAGAATTCCAACCCCCACCCCCCAAGCCCAGGACCAGAACTACTTTATTGGTTTCTGGAATTGGCTTTAGATTTCATTAGAAGGGAACAAAGCAAATATTCCTTAACTTGACGCTCTTGCATTGGTGGGATTAAAGGAGAGGGCTGTCTGCTCCCTGGATGTGATCTCTGGCTGAGAGGGGCGGGTCAAGCGAACTAGAGCTGTCACCTGAGCTTTCAGCCCCTGTGAAGCCAGAAGGGCTGTGCATGATCCTTCTCCAAGCTGTGTTGGGCAGCTGGGTCTCAGATGTCACCAGTGGGTCCTCGGAAAGGGAAGTCAGGATCCCAGGGCGTAGGGACTCAGGTTGCCTGCCTCCCACAGTGTGTGGGAGATTGTGGGCCAGCAGGGAGGTGGCCTGTCGGTGCTGCGGACCTTCCGCCTGATGCGGGTGCTGAAGTTAGTACGCTTCCTGCCGGCACTACAGCGGCAGCTCGTGGTGCTCATGAAGACCATGGACAACGTGGCCACCTTCTGTATGCTGCTCATGCTCTTCATCTTCATCTTCAGGTGAGCACACTGCTGGCCAAGAGTCGGGTGGGACTAGGGGCAGGAGCACAGGACCCTGACCCTATCTGGGACTTCCTGTGTCTCCAGCATCCTGGGCATGCATCTCTTTGGTTGCAAGTTTGCATCTGAACGGGATGGGGACACGTTGCCAGACCGGAAGAATTTTGATTCCCTGCTCTGGGCCATCGTCACTGTCTTTCAGGTTGGAGGGTCACAGGGCAGGGGTGAGTTGGGGAGGTTGGGTGTCTAGTCAAGCCCTGACCCCTGTCCCCTGCCCACAGATTCTGACTCAGGAGGACTGGAATAAAGTCCTCTACAATGGCATGGCCTCCACATCGTCTTGGGCTGCCCTTTACTTCATTGCCCTCATGACATTTGGCAACTACGTGCTCTTTAACCTGCTTGTCGCCATCCTGGTGGAAGGCTTCCAGGCAGAGGTAACCCCCTGCCCTACCCATGTCACCATGCTGAGAGCAGTGTCCTGACTCCCAGGAGGGATGACTGCCTCTTCTTCCCTCTGCTGCTGTGAGGCCTGGGAGACCCTGCAAGCAGTAGCCATTGGACTAAGCCAGGGTGGGCCTGGGGTGGGGAGCACTGGGCCTTTTGAAACCTGTCATCAGGGGTGATACAGGAGATTGCTGTGTGGGGGTTATACATTGGCAGCTTATAGGGTTCTTTTAGTTAGCTAGGCCCTTTCCCAGAAAGACAAGCCAAATTTGGCAACCTATATAGCTGGACCCCAGAGCATGGGCCTTTATGGCACATGTGGGGAGGACCCCTCTGGGCTGTGGGGTGTGGGAAGCTTGTGTGCAAGCCATCAGAGCACAGGCTGAGCTGATGAAGATGCCACCAGGGCCCCAGGCAGGGCTGAGCTGCCCAGGGTGAGAAATGAGCCCAATTAGCTTCGGGCATGGCAGAGATGAGCGTCCTATTTCCAGCCCAGACTCCATCACCTCCGTCACAGGCAGCGTCATCAATTAATATTGATTCGGATTGATCCTGTCCCGGCTGTGCCAGGGCACAGCTTCCGTCCCAAAGGCCTACCTCCTTCTCTCTCAGCTCTGCCTGTCTTCCCACCCAAGCTCTCATCCCCACTCCATCATCCCAGCACCTCAAACAGGGCAGGTTGACCCAACCTAGAAATGCACCAGGTTGGGCCTGGAGAAGCTCTTGGTCCAGTTCTCGCTGGGTGACCCGGATGGAAACTCCCGCTGCGGCCTGGTCTATAAATACCCAGCACACGGTGGAAAAACAAAAATCTATTTTCCGACTCTTTCCCAGCCATGCAAGGGAGGGCTGTTCCCCCTGGGCCGGGTTGGGCTGAGGAGGGGTGCGGGTGTTGGGCACTAGTGGTGTGCAGGAGCGTCTGTCCTGCACTGGCCTTTTTCTGCTTCCATTTTAATTGTGTAGTTATCATTATCATTTCCTCCCTGCTGGGTGGCAGCAGAGGCTGCTTGAGGTGTGTGGGGGAGGCTTTAGTGATGAGTGGGTGGGTCTCTTGGAATGACAGAGGGCCATGGGCACTCTCCTTTCAATAGGACACTTCTTTGAGTTTTCCCTTAGACCTGAAGATTTGAGGGGTACCACAGGGTTCTCCCGAGAGCCTCATGATTGGTAGTTGCTAGCTGCCTGCCAGAGTAAAGAGCTGAGCGGGGATGGGTCTCTTCAGTCCTTTCCAAAAGCAATTTGTGATGACTGAGTTTACTCTCAGGAAAAAAAAAATCCAAAGGAAGTGAAAAATACCCTGGCCTTTCCCCTTCATCCAGCTACCTTGGTAGACCTAGGGTGCCCGTGTAGATAGCCCCTTCCCCACCAACTGGCTTTCACAAACACCTTGTTAAATTGAGTGCAGCTGATCTGGCCTGGTTGCTAGGCAGCAGTGATGTCTGAGTGTGGGAACAGAGCTGCCAGGCCCTTATGTCTGGCCTGGTCACCCTAGCCCTGCTGGGGGCCTGAGAGCTTTCCCAGCATGGGAAGGATTGACAAGGCCCTCACAGGAGATTCCCTCCTAAACCTTCATAGTGTAAGTGCCCTTACTGGGAGAGTGTCAGTCACCCAGGGCCTGGTGCCTTCAAGGGCTGGGTTGCTTCGGGTAAGGTGTGCAATAGAGAAAGGATTTCAAGGTTAAACCTCCTCCATGGGGTGGGCTGCAGCTGTGGCCCTGAAGGTCCACTGTCCTGCATAGAATGTCATTCAATGCTGATGACTTGGGCACATCCGGAGCCACCTGTCCTTACCTCTTTGGGGTGTCAGGTCTGGCAAGGGAGGCTAGTTTTGGGGTAGTGATAACCTGGAATACTGTTTTGTTTTTATGAAGAAGACAACCCACCTCAGTGGGAGAGCATCTGCCCCATTTTGGTGGACCTCAGCATGAGACCTCAAGGGTAGCCCTCTTGCTGGCTTTAACATCCTTCCAAGAATGGGTAGGGGGTGGCTTTGGGGACAGAGCCTGCTTGGCTGCTGATTTCCTGATTCCCAGGGGGTAGCGCCCTGAATTCCTGTATTATTTGTCATCCATGCACTTAATTAGATGAACAAGCAGCAGGCCCTGTGTGTAGCCATTAATTGATACTAAACAACATCATGGCCGCCATCCCACTGCTACTTGTCACATCTCATCCTACGCTGGGCATACGCATCCATTCTGACTGGAAAGGTCTTGGGCTAAGTCTTACAAATGATGGGAACCGACTCTGCTCCTCATTGAGGCCCTGTCCCCAGCTTTAATCCACATCTTCACACCCTCTCTGCCCATCTCTACCCTTGCTGCCCACACAACCACCTTGGAAATAGAGAGCAGGGAGCTGTGTTCTCAGTTGGAGATGTGGGGCGCAGCCCACAATCTCTGACTCTGCACAGTGTGCGGCAGTTTCTTTAACTTCTGTGACCGCAGGTGCCTACCCTGTGAGATGCTTCTAACGGGGCCATCTCCCACCTTGTAAGGAAGTGAGCTTTGTTCATAAGCAGTTTAAGGCAGGGTGGGTATGGCGGCACACACCTGTAATCCCAGCCCTTAGAAGGCACAGGCAAGAGCATCCTGAGTTCCATTCCGGTCTGAGCCATGTTGCGAGATTTGTCTCAAAATGTCAAGAGCCATGGATGTGATTCAGTGGTAGAACCCTTGCCTGGCACAGTCAAGGCCGTGGTTTTGATCCCTAGTTCCACAGAAAAGCACGGTGGCCACTCTTACAAGGACTACGGGAGGACTTGATCCTTCCTGTGCTTCTTACCTTTGTTACCTCTGCCTTTGCCCTTCGGATTCATTCAGGCCTAGGGGCCTGAGGCTGAATTCTAGAAGGTTGTCCTGTCCCACTCTCCCTACCCCGTGTCTCTCATTTCCTTTTCTTCATCCTCTTGGGACATTGCTGATCTTTGAGGGCCGGAGCGCCTGTGAACAGCAGCCCTCCCCTGCCTCCCCCTCTCGCTGTAGGAAATCAGCAAACGGGAAGATGCGAGTGGGCAGTTAAGCTGTATTCAGCTGCCTGTCGACTCCCAGGGGGTAGGTATGCGATCACGAGTTGGCATGCCCCTGTGCCCAGTGCCCCCTCCACTTTGTCCCTGTGTCTCTGTGCTCCTCTTGTTCATGCTCAGCTGTCATGCAACCTGTGGTCGCCGTGGTGGTCATTGGTGTTGTGAGGTTTGCTTTGATTTTAAGTCCCTTCCCCCACCTTGAGGACACGGAAGGGAGGAGCATCTTTGCCTCTGCCCACGTCAAGCTGCAGAGGGCACATTCCCATCCCTGCCAGGCCTGTGGATGGGCCAGAGAAGGAAGGGACTTAGAATCCTCTGTGTGCACATGTCTGTGGGCACCGCATGCGTGCCTGCCTGCACCTGGGTCCTGAAGGAGTCTGAAACATCCAGCCTCAGTGGAGTTAAGACATGCTCCCTCATTCTTTTCCCCTTCGCCCCTTGCCCCGAGTCTCCACTGGAGACCTCACAGTTACCTCAGCTCGGTACAAGTCCTTGGAGGATGCAGGGATGGGCTGTGGCTCTTGCTGTACTGTGACAAAATTTTAAACCCACCAGTTTTGAGTCTCTGACCACCAATTCATTGGACTAAATCCTCCCAGCCATCTCTGAGCATGTCCCTCCTTTTGGTCCCTCATGCCAAACCTGTCCTCTGGTGTTTCGTGTGCTGGCACTGGAATTTGGGGCGAAGCCAGGCTTCCCATGGGACCCCATAGTGCTGTGCATCCCTAGCAGCCCCCTGGAGATCCCACTTGATAATTAAAGGCCTCGTTAGGGATGTAAACTGAGTTAATGAAAATGATCCCCTGAGATGCCAATTATCCAATATTTATGCCCTTATCAAAAGTAGCAATCAAGTATTTTTTAATAACTTCTTGAGGAGGAGTGTATAATTACTGGGAAACCTACTGACCTGCTAAGAAGGAAGGAAAAAAATCTATCCCAGAGACAGAGAGAGGAGTAGAAATGGGGCCAGGAAGAAGCTGAGGCTTGGGGAAGGTAGAGGCCAGAGGTCAAGGGACTAAAGTACCATTATGCTAAGTTGCTCTGCCTTGGGTCTTTCTGTTTCCCTCACAGATCCACAGGTGGGAGATTCAGGGAGGGTCAACAAGAGGAGAAGGAAAGGGGCCTTGAGTAGGCTTTTGGAACTGAGGCTGTAGTGACCACTTCACCCTGGTTCTCAATCCCCTAGCCTGTGCCCATCCAGCCACCCTCTTCTCCCTCAGCTAGTTTTGGTGCCAGTCCAGCCAGGCTGCTTGTGCTATGGGCTTGGTTAGCCATGGCCTTTCATAAGGGTTGGCTGGTGGGAGGCAGAGGCATCAGCCATGGGAAGCCCCAGGCCCCCAGCCTGGGTGGTCTGGCCAGTCCCCATGCATGCCTCATATCTATCGTGGTTTCTGGTTCCTGTGGTCTGTGTGGCGTGTTCATGTGGTGAGAGGGAGACCTTGGTCCATACTGATGACGTCTGCCTGGCCAGGGTCCTAATGGCCCACTGTTCCCTGACCCTAGGGAGATGCCACCAAGTCTGAGTCAGAGCCTGATTTCTTTTCACCCAGCGTGGATGGTGATGGGGACAGGAAGAAGCGCTTGGCCTGTGAGTAGTGGTCCTGAGGGCATAGCCTCTGGCCCTGGACCTGCCTGCATGGACTCAGGCTCTCCCCTCTCCTCCTGCAGTGGTGGCCTTGGGAGAACACCCAGAGCTACGAAAGAGCCTTCTGCCACCCCTCATCATCCACACAGCTGCTACGCCAATGTCACTGCCCAAGAGCTCCAGCACAGGTGTCGGGGAAGCACTGGGCCCAGGCTCTCGCCGCACCAGTAGCAGTGGGTCCGCTGAGCCCGGAGCTGCCCATCATGAAATGAAGTCACCGGTAAGGAATTACATGTCGGTGCCCCACTGTGAGAGATTAATGGATGGCAGGATGAGGGGATGGAGGCAGGCAGATCCAAGGAAACAGCCCCTGGGACATGGGCTGGACAGAGCAGTCAGGGCTAGGGAAGCAGTGTTCTTAACCAGAACCCACTGTTCTCTTCTTGTGTGACCCTAAGCAGGATTTAACTTCTCTGGACCTCTCCCGTAGGTCAAGCATGGGGTACACATTTCCCCTTTATACTTTATACAAGCCCCAATTTAGCTCTTGATAGAACCCTAGATTCTGCTGTAGATATTGTGACTGGAATCTTTACTGCCCCACTAATGTGAGAGAGGTGCCATCATTGCTTCCATTTTATTAATGGGGACCTCAATCTCAGATGGTCGGAGTGAGTGACAAAGCCAGCTTTATAGTGCAGAAGACCGTGCTTGTACTGTCTTTTTACTTTTAAGTCTTTACCCTTAATTTGTTATTATTTTACTTGGCATTTTGAAACGGGGTCTCACTACATAGCCCATGCTGGTTCTGAACACCTGATCGATCCTCCTGCCTCAGTCTCCCAGAGTACTAGGATAAGAGGTATGCCTCACTCAGCCAAGGCTTGCTTTTTTTTTTTTTTAAAGATTTTATTTATTTATTATGTATACAACATTCTGCTTCCATGTATATCTGCACACCAGAAGAGGGCACCAGATCTCATAACGGATGGTTGTGAGCTACCATGTGGTTGCTGGGAATTGAACTCAGGACCTCTGGAAGAGCAGTCAGTGCTCTTAACCTCTGAGCCATCTCTCCAGCCCCCAAGGCTTGCTTTATTTATTTATTTATTTATTTATTTTACTTTGCTGAGACAGGGTCTCCCTATGCAGCTCTAGCTGCCTGGAATTCACTATGTAGACTAGGTTGGCCTTGAATTCATAGAGCTCTCTGCCTCTGCCTCGGAGTGCCAGGATTAAAGGTGTGTGTCATCACATTGGTTAGCTAAGACTTTATTTTTAATTAGTAAATCATTGTATATGCTTATGTAGTAAAATTCGGCATTTGGTGCCTACAGATATGAAATGACATTATTAAGTTAATTAGTGAATATAGCACCTCACATACTTTTTTGTGTCATCACATTTGAAGTCAACTCTCTTAGAAAATTTAAAAAAAAAATGCATTAGGTCACTGCTGTTTATAGTCACCATGCTACTATAGGTGTATTTCTTTGCTTGGATTGACATTTTGTACCCTGGACCAATAGCTCCCAGCCTCCCAAGCTCCGTGAGCCATCATTCAGCTCTTCTATACATTCAGTCCTTTCAGAATCCAAACCGAGATCATAGGGGAATCTGTTTCTCCGTGTCTGGATTATTTTGCTTAGTATCAATTTCTCCAAGGTCACCCATGTTACTAGCAGTGACAGGATATCCTTTTTTCCATTTTTACTATTTGTATTTCAATGTGTGCGCGCGAATATGCACACGTGTGGAGGCTAGAGGTCAATGTTGGATGTCTTTCTCTATTGTTCTCCGCCTATCTTTCCAGACAGGGTCTCTGACTGAAACTGGAGCTCACTGACTATCTAGACTGGCTGGTCAGCAAACTTGAGGGATATGCTTGTCTCTACCCCTGACCCAGTGCTAGAGTTACAGCTATGCACAACCACACCTGGCTTTTGTACATGGGTGCTGGCTATCCAAACTCAGGCCCATATGCTTATGTGGCAAGGATTTTACCCACCGAGCCATCTCCCCACCTTCTTTGTAAAGGCTGAGTGCTGTGTGTGTGTGTGTGTGTGTGTGTGTGTGTGTGTGTGTGTGCCTGTGAGATGAGTGCTCTCAAGAGTTCAGAAGAGCCTGTCTTATCCCACTGGAACCAGAGTTAAAAGCAGTTATCAGCCTCCCAGTATGGATGCTGGGAACTGAACTAGGGTTCTTTGAAAGATCATTGCATGTTCATAACCACTAAGCCATGTGTGTAACCCCATTTTTAAAATCCTTTTGGCTGATGGATACTTTGCTATTGTGAACAGTGATGCAATGAACATGAGCGTAGAGCTGTTTTTTTGTATAGTGATTTAGAATCTTTTCTGTATATACGTTTAGTTGTAGAATTGCTGGACTATATAATCATTCTATTTTTAGATTTTTGAAGATCTTCCATATGGTTTTCCACAGTAGCTGTACTAATTTACATTCCTACCAATAGTGTGCAAATGTTCCCTTTTCCGCACATTGACTTGGACCATAGTTATTCCAACAGGTGTGGGGCATTTACTGTTTTAACTTGTATTTTGTGGGTTTGGAGATGGCTCGGTAGGGAAAGCACTTGCCACACAAACATGAGGACCTGAATTTGATCCCACAACACACATAGAGCTGGGCACAAGAGCATTCGTTGTAATCCCAGTGCTCCTATGGTGAGATGGGCAGAGAGACAGAAGGATCATGGGAGTTCAAAGACTAGCTGGGTATGAAGTGATAAAGAATAAATAAGAGACCTTATCTCAAGACATGGTGGAAGCTGAGGACCGACACATGAGGTATACTATACGTACACATATATATGTATATACACACACAGATCTCATACATACACACAAATACACACAGAGAGAGATCTCATACACACACACAGAGATCTCATGTACACACACATAAAAGTGAAAAAATAAAAAATTAGCATTTCCCTGATGATTAATGATACTAAATATTTCCATGTATATTTGCTTGCAGTTTTGTCTTCTTTTGTTAAATATTTTCCATGTATATTTGCTTGCAGTTTTTGTCTTCTTTTGTTAAATGTTTACTCAGGTCCTCTGTTCACTTTTGTTGTTTTGCTTTTTGAGACAGAGTCTCATGTATCAAGCTAGCATTGAGCTTGATGTGTAGGCAAGGATAATCTTGAACTCCTGGTCCCTGTCTCTGATTCTCTCCAAAGGATTACAGGCCTACATCATCATACCCAACTATCAGTTGTATTCCTTTTTTCAGTGGTTCTCAGTCTTCCTAATGCTGCGACCCTTTAATAAGTTCCTCATATCATGGTGACCCCCAACATAAAACTATTTTCATTGCTACTTCATAACTTTAACTTTGCTACTATTATGAGTCATAATGTAAATATCTGTATTTTCCATGGTTTTTGGTGGCCCCCTGAAAGGGTCATTCCACCCTAAATTGGACATCGACCCACAGGCTGAGAACCACTGGCTTTCTTGCTACTGAGTTATTTGAGTTCTTTCTTGCCATTATTTTATGCTGCCTCTCGGTGATGACAATATTCATCTCACAAGCTAAATGAAAAACAAATGCTATTGCTGGATCTACTTTACAGATGAGAAGGCAGAGGCACCGAGAGGCTGCAACAGGCTCTGAATTGAGGCATTGGATTCCAGACCTCTGGTTAATATCACTTCTCCCAGTGTCTATTCCAGGGAGGCTCACAGGATAGTAGGGGTATGTGTGAGAAATGAAGGCCCTTGCAGCCTCAGCTGACATCATTTCTTCTCTGCTCACCCTGCAGCCAAGTGCCCGCAGCTCCCCACACAGTCCCTGGAGTGCAGCAAGCAGCTGGACCAGCAGGCGCTCCAGCCGAAACAGCTTGGGCCGGGCCCCCAGCCTAAAGCGCAGGAGCCCGAGTGGGGAGCGGAGGTCCCTGCTGTCAGGAGAGGGTCAGGAGAGCCAGGATGAGGAGGACAGTTCGGAAGAGGAGCAGCGGGCCAGCCCAGCAGGCAGTGACCATCGCCACAGGGGTTCCTTGGATCGTGAAGCCAAGAGTTCTTTCGACCTGCCTGACACCCTGCAGGTGCCAGGGTTGCACCGCACAGCCAGTGGCCGAAGCTCTACCTCTGAGCACCAAGACTGCAATGGCAAGTCAGCTTCAGGGCGTTTGGCCCGGGCCCTGGGGCCTGATGACCCCCCACTGGATGGGGATGACGGTGATGATGAGGGCAACCTGGTAAGATTCCCATGGGGCATAAGTGACCCCTCACCTCTGATCTTGAGAGAGGGCAGTCTGGCCCAGGCAGCAGTGTAAGGGATTTATCACCAGAAATGCCCAGCCTGTAATCTGGCCTCCGAGCAGCCTTTCTCTCTGCAACCCTGCAGAGCCTCAAGCCCTCATGCTTGTGGCCAGGGCTGGCTGCTCTCGGCTGTCCTTGGTGGATATGAATGGTTTCAGGCAGATGTGTATGAATCTTTCATGGCCCTCCCCCTGTGACTCAGGAAGACCCATCACTCATCTCTCCAAACTGACGTCTCCCCTCCCGCCTGTCCCCCTTTCCCATCTGAACCTCATTGCAAGCCCTGACTTACAGCATGTCCTTAGCCAATTACTCCTCCCCCATCCCCTTCACCATCCCCTTTACCCTGAAGATGAGCACAAGGACAGGGACACAGGATGCAGGGTTAGCATATGAGAAGGGTCTGTGTCTCCTCTGCCCAGGTGTATCTGAGCAGACAGCTGTGATGAGTACAGTGTTTGATAATTGATGCAGTTTCCAAACCCAGCAGGGAGGGAAGGAAGAAAGGGAGGGGGCTGGGCTGGAGGCAAGAAGCTGGGAATGCAGAGAAGGAGGGGGGCGGGGGAAGGAGGGGGCGGAGGAAGGAGGAACCCCAATGCTGTGGGGTTGGTGTGTAGGGAGCCAAGAGGTGGTTTTAGAGATAAAGGTGAGGAACAGGGCAGAGGGCTGGTCTACAAGTCGGGAAGGATGGACCAGGTTCAGGGCTGTTCAAGAGGAGACAGACTTTGAAGGCTTGGCGTCCTGGATCAGCTCACACCCCAGTGTTCCTTTCATAGAGCAAAGGGGAACGAATACGAGCCTGGGTCAGAGCCCGGCTTCCTGCCTGTTGCCGAGAGCGAGATTCCTGGTCTGCCTACATCTTTCCTCCTCAGTCAAGGTCTGTTGTGTTGCTATCTGCTGATGCTAGCCATGGGGTCCAAGTGCAAAGCAGCAGGGGTAGTCTGCAGGTGCCTCTCCTTCCCAGCCTTTACCTCTGTCCCTGGAGCAGGTTCCGCCTCCTGTGTCACCGGATCATCACCCACAAGATGTTTGACCACGTGGTCCTGGTCATCATCTTCCTCAACTGTATCACCATTGCCATGGAGCGCCCCAAAATTGACCCCCACAGCGCTGTGAGTCACCAGAATATAAACACTTCTGTTGAATTCTGCCGAGTGCCAGGTTCCCCCTGGGTTAGCAGTCAGAACAAGCAAAGGAGGAGAGAAAGCTCACACTGTCTCCAGTCTGCCTAAGGTCACACATCACAGACATGGCAAGAGGACAGGCCAGGGCTCCTTTTAGGTCCCTGGATTCTAGTACTTGTTTCTGGCCCCATCACCAAGATGCCTCCTGTGTCCTCTCCTGCCTCGGTTTCTCTTCTACCGGCAAAACAGCCTAGCTGGGTGTTTTATTGCATATATATATATATATATATATATATATATATATATATATATATCATTTTTCTTTTGTGACA